CTGCCTCCGTCATCAGGGCGATGACCTCTGAAACGTTGGTTAACATCGACCAGACTACACAGCGCAATAACCCAGAAGACGGATATCTTCACATTTTCTGTTTGGGAGGAGAACAAGATTTTACCAGCGAATCCTGTCACATGCTAATATCAGTTTGACAAATGTAAGTTCCTTATTGTGGCTTAGACCAACTGGTACCTGTTCCATCACTCTTTTTTATTGGTGGAAACGGAGTTCCACTCGAAGTGGTGGCCGGAGAAGTGGATGTGCCTGAATTAGTGCAGAGGATCGCCACAGTTCTAGAGAAAAGTGGAAAAGTTGTCCCAGGTAAGGTATTGAAGGTATCGCTGCTGCAAGTACGAAAATTAATTTCAGTGTAGTCAAAGAGACGGGCAGAAAAGATATCTAGCGAAGCGTGTCACATTTGACGTAGAATGCATTGTGCTTCCAGAAAAGATATCTAGCGAAGCGTGTCAGATTTGACGTAGAATGCATTGCGCTTTTTTTTATGTACGCTGAAATGTTTATAAGTATCTGAAGGGTTGTTTACTTCTTAATTAACTCATATAATGTATTAAAGAGTAAGAAATAGAGGAATTATAACTTTATCTTTCTTTTTTGTGGGTATGTAATTACAAAATTTGGACTTATACAGCTTAATCAAAAGAAATGTGTTTTGCATTAATTTTGCTGTACGATGAAATGTTTATGTATTTTCTGTGACTTTAGGGCAAAGAAAATGCAAATAGTAGACATTTTATATATTGTGCACCCCAATCACAAAGTTCCTGAATTACTGCCCATCGTAATGTTGGATGATGTGAATGAACCTTAAGTTTTCATGTTGATTGATTTTATCTTTCTGATACTTCTTTTGTTCATATAGTCTCGTTATCATTTCTGTTCTTAGTCTGTTTTGCTTTGCCGGTGAAAAGTTTCATAACACAATAAGTACTAAATATTTCAGCCGACACTCAAGAATTGACTGAAGAGCAGAAAATAGAACGAGCCAAAGAACTGATAGAGAAGAAACAGAAACTGAAGCAAGAAGAAGAGGAACAGGCAAGAAAATAATTATTACATTTTCAGATGATCTCTGACAGTGCTGTTAAAGTCTAAACAGAAACGTTAGCGCAAAATATTTGCACATATTTTCTTCCAAGGCTATAAATGGCAGTCCTGCTGTAATATTTTGGTTCAGTTGGCACTGGACAGTTCTAACCCATTTTTCTTGTGATTAGAATAGTAATATAAACAAATTGTTTTACACACATATATATTCTTTACATTGTCCAAATAAAATAAATTCTTTACATTGTCCATATAAAATAAAATAAATTCTTTACATTGTCCATATAAAATAAAATAAATTCTTTACATTGTCCATATAAAATAAAATAAATTCTTTACATTGTCCATATAAAATAAAATAAATTCTTTACATTGTCCACATAAAATAAATTCTATACATTGTCCAAGTAAAATAAATTCTGTACATTGTCCAAATAAAATAAAATATATTCTTTACATTGTCCAAAGGAAATGTGGTCCACACAACTGAGGGAACTGATGAGGTATTGGATGTGTTCCTCAAATACATTGCATGAGGTCTTACTCAGACACTACAGAGACAAGAACTTAGATTAAAATATTTTAATTTATGTAGACCCAAAAGCAGAAGGAAGTGGAGCGCCGTAAGGTGGGGCAGGAAGTCCAGAAACTTCGCAGATGGCAGCAGGATCAGGAATTAAAACAGCTGAAGGAAGAAAGGCAGAGGGAGAAGGCTGAGGAGGCCGCAGCTCGGGAGCGAGTCCTGAAGCAGATAGCGGAAGACAGGTAGCGTTTTCTGGGACCGACCAGATTGTAACTTCATTCAGTCATAAATTGAGAAAGGATGTGGTCGTGTGAGCTTGGATCGTGTGTAGAATGTTTTTAACTTCGTTCATTCAGAGCTCAGCGAGCTTCGAGATACTACGCCGGACTCGAAGGAAACAAGAAACAGGCTGAAGAAAAACTCAAGGGTCAGTCAGAACAGCAGGCTCAAGATACTGCTTCAAAATGGTGAGGAATATTAGGACTTCTTATGCTTTTTTTGTTTCTCGTAGACTATGGTGTTTGTACCTCCAGATTCCTTTGCGACGTACAGTTGTTTATAATGTTGTGTTTGATTTGATCAGAATTTTATCTTTTGTACGACTCACTCATTTATAAGAAAAGTTTGTTGTTTTTCTTTTTCCTTCCTTTAAACTGTGTTTTGCTTCCGTATAGCGTCGTGGCACGTATACAATTTCGCCTCCCAGATGGATCGTCGCATTCGCATAATTTTGAAACCGCAGCAACTCTAGGTGAAGTGCGGTTATACGCGGCCACGCATCTCAACTTACCGTTTAGGTAAGTGTACGTGGAAGAATCTGCTAAATTAACAAATGTTCACTGATGAATGAATACAGCGACAGTTAGCCGGTTGGTCCGTTGGTTAATGGCCATCTGAAGTGTACCGGTACTCAACCAAATTAATGAACTGTGGCCCGCAGTCCATTTTGATATGCTGATTATTTCTGATCTGAATTCTCTGCTTCAAACCTTGAAGCCAGTGGACCTGCCACTAGCATCGTAGTGTACAAATATGAATTTGGCGACGAAGCCGCGGAGATTAACGAAGAGATGATAATTCTAAACTTACTGAAATATATGACTGGATTATGTGCTCAGAAGTATTTCTCGTATCTGTTATAAAGCAACTTAATTTATGTACGAGAAGATCGTAATGAATTTTACTGAATCAGAAGAAAAAAAACTTTTCTAGTTCCTCGTGTCCTCTAATAGTGATGATACGTGTTAAATGATTTCAGATTTTACATTTTCGTTGTTCTCGTTGCAGAGAATTTGTCATGTCGACGACCTTTCCTCGTCGTGAGTTTACCGCCGCTGACGACGGTCAGACCGTCACAGAACTGCAACTGGTGCCAACCGCCGTGATTTTAATTCTTCCGGTGAGATTTCGTGTCACGATACGTGAATTGTGTTCGCCGTGTCCGTGAATTAAGAATTCTTAAAATCATTATGTAGACATTTTATCAGCATTTCATTTCTCGCGATATTCTAGATGTCCGATAAAACATTCGTGATCTCCAGTTTCAGGTAAGCGCGTGATGACTCGAATTGTGTTTCAGGCTACATCAGGTAACGCGATCTCGTCGTCCCAGAGTTACGGTAGTGCCGTCTCACGCATGTTGTGGTCTGTGCTGACACCTTTCTTCTCCATACTGAACTACGTAAGAAACCTGGTTTTCGGTGGCGGAGGCGCGGTCGGTGGCGACGGGGGAGCCAGAAATTCGCGACGGTCATCGCTCCATGCTGCGTCAGAGCAGAGTCCCACGTAAGACTCGTTCCACACTAACGAAGAACATTTTGTGGTCTTGTAATTTTTACATTAAAGTCACGATTCTCAGCTGTTATGAATATTTTTTAATTGAGTTCCAGAAAGGAAAATGTCTCGACCGCAGCTGGTAACCTAACCTACAAGACCGCGTGGCCTCACATCTCAGAAGCCGCGATCGAGAAGCTGAAATCCTATTCTAAAAATGATCCATAATTTTGTGATCTTCCACTTTTAGAGGAGCAAGGCGACGAGTACGAACCACTGAAACTACGACCGTTCATCGCCAGGGCAACGTACACCGTCTTACGAACCGCCAAGACGCAAGCGACGATGAGAACAACACTTGGAACGGAAACTCGACTCAACAGATGTGACGTGTCGTACTCGTTCGAAGTTCAGCTTTATTTTTTTCTATGCCCCCTGCCCCCTCCTCGATATCCTTCTGTCTGTGCGACGTCACTCCCGTTCCTGTGATTCCATCTTTTCTCTTCCATTTTTAAATGGAACGCACTTCATTTCCCACTCCTCTTAATATTTGAGATTTTTACTTCAAAATTTTTTTCTGTAATTACGTGTCTTAGTTTGTATTCGTGGTATTTTCATTCTCAGCAAACAATTATTGTAGAAATAAAAGTTATTAGTGAAAAATGCTTTATTTTGTGTATTTATTCGTGTTTACAAAATCTTTTTGTTCCCCGATCCCTATTCCCGCTCGTTTGCGTTTCTGGTTGCCGTGCAACCATAAATGGTTTTTTGTGTTTGTCTGCCGATGGTTTTGTTTTATTATGATTGTAATATATATTCTTCTTCGTTAAATAAGAAATATAAGCTCGTGATGCCGTATTACAAAGCCAAATTCATAAAACAGCTCCATTTTTTTAACCATTCCAAATACGAAATTTATCAAACAGGTGTTTTATCTGTAAGGACTTTACTGTATTACAATAAAAATAAATAAACAGGTCATTAGCACGCTTGCTTCGTGTTTACGAGGGCCAGATTCTAATCTTAGCCCAGCTTTTGATCTGGGTTTGTTTGGTTTTCCTTAGTCCCTCCAGGGAAATTCCGGGATAGTGCCTTAAATTGGACCATGGCCACTAAGTCAGAATATGGCTGTCTTCTGGTAGAAGTTTACCAACTACCTCCTCATCGTCCCGATGATGGAGGCAGCAGGGACCTCTGAAACGTCGGTAAAACTTCTACCAGAATACACGGAACAACAACCCAGAAGACAGACCGCCTTGAGAGCGTCAGATCCTACTTAGTAATCGGTCAGCTTCACGTTTCGGCCGATTGATCTCCGGTGGATGGAATTCAGAGATGGCGACAAAGAAATATCCCTGGCTCTGCCTGGAATGGAACTCGGATCTTTTGGCCCATGCCAGAGCTTTCCAGCCCTCGTTACGTACGAAATTTTTTTTCTGTACAAAAATCTCGTGACCTTCCGCGTGTTTTGTTTGTTCTTGTCTCAGGAAACACCTGTTTCAGACAAACGCAACGAACTTCACCTTTGTTTTATCCAGAGGATTAATGACCTTCGAGGAAGCAACCATACCCCTTTGTTCGCCTTCCGTTTGAGGTCCGTTCGTTGGAACAGAACGCAAAGAGCCAGCAATTTGCATTGCAAGCAGCCTATGTGAAAGGAATGTGCCAACATTGTTCATTTTGTAAGAGGCGAAATGTTACAAGGCAACATCACGGAAAAAAATTTCCCCTCTTTCGTGGCTTCTAACTTCGTTTCAACCCCCTATTTCGATTATAGCAAAGTTAGAACTGTTACCAACCTGTATGATTTCGTCTTTCACGGATGAACCGTATCAGATGCTGAAAATTATCCAACGTTTCGACCGACATTTCAGTTGCCATCTTCAGGGTCAATGTACTGGTTGGGAGTTTATAGAAGCCTTATGTAGGGTTCAATATAAGGCACTGAATCATAGCGATAGTCTGCTGGCAAGAATTAATCGACTTTTACAAGCTTTAGCGAAATGTCATCTAAGACCGAAATACACTTGGAATCTCCAGCAGCCCCGAGACGTGTACAGTCTCTTAATGACTTTCTCGTATAATTGTCACAACTCATAACTTCCAACTGATCTCATTAGTTCAGGTACACTCCACGCGGACAAAATTATCTTCTGTCCTCCATTGTCCAGAATAAAATACCAACAGCTTCAGTGCAAGAGTTGATTATAAGCCTTAAATATCCGTCTGCATGGGACAGAGTTCTTCAGAAGCCATTAGTACCTCAGCTGATCTAGAAATTCTACGTCTTTTATGGAACACTTGTTTACAACTGCCTGTCTAGCTTAATCCATTCCAAACAACCTCTCATTTTTAAGATTAATTTTTATATTATCATTCCGTCTACGTCTAGGTCTTCCAAGTGATCTCTTTCCTTAAGATTTTTTGATTAAAACTACGTGTGAATTTTTAGTCTTTTACCTGCGTTCTATATATGGATCTTCTCTTTCCTTAAGATTTTTTGATTAAAATTACGTGTGAATTTTTAGTGTTTTACCTGCGTTCTATATGGATCTTAAGAGTGATATGGTGCCAGGGTGTGGATTGGATTCATGTGGCTGTCGTGTAATGAACCTTTGGGATCCATAAAAGACGACAACGTCTTCAGTACTCCGTGGAGTAACTTAGTACACCGGATCAGTGCTTTTGGGTTTATCCAATTTGAGGCAGAGTTTAGGGCGTTTTACCTTTCCACCTCTCAGATTCCCTAAACAGTGGGTCTCGGGAGTTATAAAGCGGCCGGAACGTGAAACTGTCCACTCACCTCCATTTACCTACGTGGAACTATATCTCCATTGTCTCATACGTCATCGTGTGTTTTTTCTTTCGGGATTAAATGAAGATACAATTTTCTAAGCAGCATTGACACACTTCGACCTTGAGAAAGAATATTTGTACTTATGTCGTTTTATCACGAATTGTTATCCCGTACTCAGCTTGGAAATCACGAACAGATCACAGCTGCTAATTTGGCAGAAATCCTGTATTGTCCCGTCTTCAATTAGTGAAGAGATGATTTCGGTTCAGTACAGTTTATCTGTCTCTCTCCAGATGACGCAGTGTTGCAGTACACTTTAAAAAAAAAATAACCCTGAAATTTTGTGTGTGACAATAGATATCTGCCACAGAGAAATCTTCCTTAATTTCGCGTGGCTATATTAAGCAGTACATTCAAGAGATGTACCGGATAATGTTTTAAAAAAAATTGTACGATTGTACAGAATTGTCTTTCGGACCATCACAAAATGTGAAGTTCAAAATATGAAAAACTGTAATTTATGGACAGATAAAATTTTAAATTGTCCCTGTGCTTAATTAAGCGTCATTCCGTAAGATGTCGGGGTAATCGCAGGTGTCATGACGTCTGCATTAAAATCGTGTAAATGGTCGTGGCATATTTATTTATCTCTACGCTCCATGTTTATCTAAACATTGTTTTGTTTAACCACGAAGACAACTTAAAAAATAACTTTCATTCGTTTTGATAATCGTAATCTAGCAGAACATCTTTTCAGGTCTTTATCGGCGAAAATTAGCGGAAAATCTTTCGTCGTCTTTTACATTCGCTTCAAAAAGTCATTCGAAATTCATTCTAGTTGCTTCAATTGCTTATTGTTGCTTGTCAGCCGATGTTTTGAGACATTGTTACATGTTTTTGCAATATACATCGATATTGCTTGTTAGTATCAATTAATCGATATTCATTGATAATCGATTAGCATTCCTATGTTGGTAATCTTGGTGCATGGGAAGAGTTCATTCACGGAAAATCTCGAATACCTGGGGTGAAGGGCAGAAACACAGTCCTTAATTTTTTGTGGCGTCATGATACAACAATTACACCAGTCGTGCTAGGCCATGATGTTTGAGAGTAGTAATTCTTTATGTCCACGGTTCGATGATTTCATGTGTGTGTTAGCAGAATTCCGGTTTTACTCACTGGCAGTCTGCAGGGAGGAAACAAAAGAATGGAACAACAATGACCTAACATGTTTAAACTGCGAGACAGAGACTAAGAATCACAGCGTGCAGTGAGTGACCTCGGCGAGTCGTAGAACTGCTTCGGACTTTTTAGTGAACGTGTTCACACTCGCTTAGAGCTGAAGTTTCGACGATCTGCGCAGGCTGTCGACCGAGGCTTGTGTTTTACTGCTAATGACATCATACAATGTCTCTTACGTCGACTTTTTCATACGCGGTATCATATTCTTGCTACGATACATTCTTAGATAAGATATTCTATTGTGCCCAATTTAAATCTAAATTCATAGTGTGACAACAATGAAAGTTAAATTCGTTTCACAACATTTATGTTGAGCTCTGAATCAGATCTATTTTAAACCAGTTAGCACATACGTTCCTGACTATTCGCTGTGATATAATTTAATACAAAACCCAGCCTGTTTAGGTCGAGCCAGGTCACGTTTTCTCTGCCTGTGCTATTCATGCTAATGATTCCAAGGCCGAAATCATTCCCTGAAGTATTTATTTACTGTGTTCTGAAGACTGGGCGAACTTACGCTGAGTAATCTCTTTACTACGCTAATCAAATAAACAATAGAATTCATCCGACTCCATGTTTCCTTCTGTTACGAAAAAGAAAACAGAGTTGGCCATGACACGAAAACTTTCAGAATCTATTTTAATCGTGTTCAGTGAGGGTGAGGCTATCGATAATCGCGTTTGATGAGTCAACAGTCCACAAATGTAATAGACGATGCGTGCGATGATAGCATTTGTAATCACGCGCAGTGCAGAGTATTAAAAGGTCAACAACAACAACAACAACAACAACAACAACAAAATAATTATCTGTGCATGCAAGATCTGGTGTCTTTCGCAATAGCAAATTCATAGCAGCCTTTTTCGAATATTAATTCTGGTGGCTGAACAAGAAATTAGAGTCGTGCTTTGTTGCTTTAGAAATCTGTCGGATTACCGCAGAAGGCGAGAAAATCCCTGCAGGCATTGTTCAAAATTTGGTCCGATTGTCTCATTTAAATATGTATACCTGATTGTGTAACTAACTTAAAGGAGGAGCAGGGACCTTATTTAGAAGCTGATAGTCACTCAACTGCTCAAGATATTCCAGCTATTTATGAAACCTGGGGATTAGTACACGCCACTGGACCCTGCCATGATCCAAATTAATTCAATCCACATATTAAAAACACTATATCTTTAACATCCACAGTAATAGCATTTAACCATCTATTCCTAGGTCTCCGAAGTGATCTTCTACACTCAGTCTTTTGATGAGATAATATCGATGTAAATCGATTGCTCGATATGGAACATATGATGATATTTTAATCATTTTAATTATCTTATCTTACTATTTTATTGTGATTTGACGGTAAACAAATATAATAATTATTTTACTCAGTCTTTTTCAGGTTAACATTTTGTATATATTATTTATTGCATTCTTCCCCGCTCACCTGATTCAGTGCGAGCGACTACAGTAAATAATTTCTGTAATTTGTTTGATAATCTTCATGTACAGGAAAGACAAAATATTAAGAGTCGATGTTGACAATCTGGGTAGAAATGTCGTGTTCATTTGTAGGTGTTTCGGAGGATCCATGCTGCCTCCAACTTCAGGATTGTATTCCTCCAAAGTGTTCGCACAAACCCAGAATCCGTCAACGATGTTGCAACTCAAAAGATTTGCATCGGAATCTTAACTCTTTGGTAGAATTTTAATTCAAATTCCCGGGGAAATAATTCAGCCTTTCTTTCAGCTGCAACTGTTGACTTACGTTTAGGCCACACCCAATGTAAGAGCGTCAGAGAAGTTGCATATCCACTAGGATTCGATTTCGCAGGAAGTCCCTTGAGGGCTAGATTCCGTAGTGAGATTAGATTTTTTATTACTAAACATTATCTAACATTGAGGGTTAGCCCACTGTTGCGTCCAGGAAATTCAATGACCGTTCTTGTAATCTTAAAGCGTTTTACAGAAGTAATTCAACCATTTGAAACATATTTAAAGCTAATTGTACGCCATGGCGTCTGATCATTCGACCTGATAATGGTGACAGATATGTCTCCTGAAACGTCGGCGAATTTTAACTGATAACCCGAGAGAATTTTATTAATTCGGTTAGCCGAGAACGTTTTTAGATCATATCTTATTTTATGTGCCCGATGTCCTTCGTTTTTTCGTTGTTTAGGCTCGAATAATCGAATGCGATGACATCGACTTGAGATCAGACGAAGCCTTGTTTCCCCTCTGCGCGTGCTTTAACCCGCTGTTGCACACACCGTCCCCGCTGGAAGAAGACAAATACTCGAGTGTTCTGGATGGTGCAAACGGATATGAAGTCTTGGCCACACAAGTTCACTTCATTCGCACCAAAGCAGCCTCGGAGCGCGCCGACCAGCTCCTTTTCAAGGTGGGTTAAACTTGTGACGTAACTCTCCTCTGTCGACTTTAATGAAATTTTGAAAGTGATCGTGTTCATCGTTGCCAGTCTGTATCGATATACGTAATCTTAATGAAATAAATTTAAAATCTGTTTCAGAATTTTTTTAGCTGTAAATTCATTTTTGTGATTTAAAACGTGTATGGTTTAATAACCTTGTGATTATAAAAAAAATTCCTTTGGCATTTTTGAATAAGTACTGAATAAAATTAATAAAACTGTATTTTAATTGTCATGCCAGAATTGTGTATAAAATCTGAGGGTTTATTTACGAGCTTAAAATACGTGTTAATTCTTTGTTCATTTTAACTCTGCAGTCTCTCTGTGGAAGTTTATTGAATTTATGGTTCGTTTATTATAGTGTGTGTCGATTTGCGTTTAATACCCTAACTTATATTTTAAAAAAAAACTCATACAAAACATTCACAAGAGTTTACGTTAGACGAGATCGTAATTCATTTTGTGTGAATTTCATTTTTGATTTATGTACTCATAATTTTTAACATCTGGTGTAACAAAGTTAATCTTGCACCGAATATTACAGTTGAAGATAAAAATTCTCCGATGGCAAGTTTATTTGTAAGGATATTTCCATAAAGTTATATCTTCCGTGTGTACAACGATACATCGTAGCTCATAATTGTAATAATTATCTTCGGAGGAGTGAGCTCTTGATTACGTCACGTTCCGTTCCGTCGAATTTCCTCACAACATAAAAAGAACTGACCGCATCTCTTGTTCGATGACCATTCCAGGTAAGGAGTTAACCTCAGGAAAGATTTCTGCGCGCTCTTTGTTCGTGTGCAAACCAAGGATGAACTACGAAGTGAAAATTATGCTGTGTGCGTTGTGGGGAGTGCTGGGAGTCGAACAGGTGGAAGGTGTGAAAATAGACAGTCAGCTGGCGACCATAGTGAGTGGTAAGTGTATCAAAGCCATACGATTATTACTTAGAAGACTGAAGTTCGATGATTGGTAGATGCAGAATTTTTTCTCTGTTACCATATCCTGACGACTGTGGGTCCCAGCAGTGGGTACATTTTTTGTCTAGGTTTGACTCCTCGTTAAATATTAGTGTTCGTTTCCAAAAATTCTGCATTCATCTCTCCCCTTGATTTGATAACCTCGGTAGTATTTAGCGAAGAAAATTGCCAAGCTCCTCATCGTGTAATTTTCTCCATCCTGCTTCCCCCACCACTAAGTTGAAATATTCTTCTCCGTGTTCTAGGATAAGAGACCAGTTAGAGTAACCATACAAAAAGCAGGTAAATTTACAGTTTTTCTTTGCGTGTTTAGAAATTCTTCGTGAATGTAATTTGGATTTGTGACGGGAGGTGAACATTTGTTTGGGTTTGAATCACGACCAAATCAACTGACGGACCCAATTGGACAAGGTCACTGGCCTCTTTTCTTATCCTGTATACATCATATCATGATCTTTCAGTTTATCACTAACTATGAGGCAGCGTGCTTAATATATCTGTTGAATTTTCACGTTTACAGAATGTCTGGGTTCCATACCCAACTCGTAACACAGTCCTGTACATTCTTTGTCGTTCCAACATTCAGTCAGAGGCAGATCACCTTGACGGGGCGGGGCTTGTGTTAGCATGGCAACTGTCGTAAACAACAGATCGTCCTCTGTTTTATATAACCAGCAATTCTTCTTCGTGAAAAGAACAGAAATGGATGTATGACATCACAAAACTTATTGGTGCCACGTGACAAGCATTTGCTGTGATAAGGGTTCATAACACAAATCCTTTTAAAGCACGTTGGTAAGCATATGTACCATGATTTAAGTCTGTATTTTGCCGATAGAGTGTGTTATGGTTTTCTCAGTGCAAATAGCTTTTATTTCGATTTCCGTCTTCTGGGTTGTTGCGCTGTGTAGTCTGGTCGATGTTTACCAACGTTTCAGAGGTCATACTGCCTCCGTCATCAGAGTACGAAGATTTCTGTCTTCTGGGTTATTGCGCCGTGTAGTGTGGTCGACGTTAACCAACGTTTCAGAGGTCATACTGCCTCCGTCATCAGGGTGACGGAGGCAGTATGACCTCTGAAACGTTGGTTAACATGGACCAGACTACACAGCGCAACAACCCAGAAGACGGAAATCTTCATACTCATCGCTGTGAGAACCTCAAGTCTTACACAACTTTTATTTCCCTAAGAAACTGATTTTTGTAACGGTGAAGTGTGGTGATTTCTTTGCGGTACGGACTCAATTCTTAAATAGTGTTTAGACGAGCCTCGGCTTCAGAGGGTCCGACTAATTATCCGGACGTGTCTGTGCAATTGCAGACTGCTACGAGCGGGTGGCAGTGGGACAGCGCATCAAGTCGTCGGATGTGTTTTTTCGTGACCCAACAGGTGAAGGAATGCGAGAAGGAGTGTGACCTCGACCTGGAAAAATGCAGTTCCTACGACTTCGGGTAAGAATCGCAACAGCCCTCTGTTTTACTGACGCCTCTAAGATGGCTGTCTTCTGGGTCGTTGCGCCCTGATGATGGAGGCACCAGGGATCTCTGAAACGTCGGTAAACTTATAACAGACCACGCGGCGCTACAACCCAGAAGTCGGCCATCTTCGGACTCGCTCCTTGGACGCTTCGTATTTGCGAGACAGGTCGACGTCTTCGTGGGTTCACAGGAAATTTCTTCTCTCCGACGATGTCAAGGAGCCGATGTTTCGTTTCGCTTGTCTGTCGTTTGCCTTATTCAGGTGCAGATGAGTTTTGTGTCACGCATACACTTATTTAGAATTAAATGTTTGCATTTTTGTTTGCTGCATTGTGATCATTGTAAAATTATAAAGTCTTCAGATTATGTCTTACATTCGAATTCTGGTGTGACGTCAAAAATGTTGATTTCTTGAAACGTGTGCCAAAGAAAAATGTGTATTTTATAGCCTAAATTATTTTTGAAAATAAAATATACTTGACGTTACAGAACCTGTTCTTTTCAACATTCCTGGAAGTCACCAAGCCAAGGGCAAGCTCATTTAACAGGCTACCAGCTCTTGAGTATCCCAGCCCGAAGTGAGGAGTAGTGTTCCACGCCTTCAAGATTCGAAATTCGTAATAAGAGTAATAATTCTCATTTGGCATTGCAGACGCTCAGAAGTTGGCACAGACTTGTTAAGGAAGGAGAACGCCATTTTGAAATTCTATTCATAACTCACGAGATTCTTATAATTCTTCATCCAGTGCTGAGAAGATCAAAGTTCGAGGACCTCAGCTTACCACTTCGTTTCCGTATGTTGTTTTGCAGAATCGGCCACCAGGGCAACGGTACGTGCAATCTGTCCCCCAAAATGCCCCCTAGATCTGGGACCCTCGTGGAGGACCCGGACTACGATGTTTACGTGAAGAAACAGGAATGTCGCATCTTGGACCTGCCACCGCCGAGTTACCCTACCGACACGAAGCCCGCGGACAGTGAGTTCCAACACTTTGCTAACATTCTCGAAACATTTTCGTTGCGGTAGTGATTCAGAAATGAATATTGTGATCATCGGTTACATCGTCGTTATCATCACCAGTCTTCCATGCCGAAGGCCTCGTGGCCTGCTGTGGTCTCAGGTCATTGTTTGTAAGGTCTCCCAAAGTGTCCGCCCATTTATTTGGTAACTTGTAACAATAAGTAATGGGATTCATGAGAATTATACTGAAGAACGGGTTTTTGCTCTGTGAATTTCTACGAATGTTTACGCTCGGCTGCGTATTTTAGACCTTCATTATTTTCGAGTCTTATTATAGCTCAGTTGAATTCAATATCATCAGTTTGATTTATGTAGTCATTATTATTGCTTTAATACCGTTTACAATCATGCTACTTTTATTTTTATTATAATTGTTGTTGTGGCTGTTCACGGTTCAGATGGAAAAAAAAATGGCGTCACCGGGATTCGATCCCATAGCCATATGAGTACGCTGATACGTGCTACGTTTAGTGGAACAAACAAACTTAATTGTTGTCATGCCATCTATAATCAGCTAAAGAAGACGACTTGTTATGAGTAACTTGAGTGAGTGAAATCCCTCACAACAGATGGCGACATACGTCCAGTCCAATTACAGTCACCGAACCATGGAAAGGCATTTATTACACTTTATAATGAAACGTGTTCTCAACACACTTGAAATACTCGTCGCGGAAACATCTGCCGGTTGCTTAAACTTCTTCTTCTTCTTATAATGAAAACTATTGTTGTGAATTTCTTATCATTATTGTGAATTTTAAATAATATATTTAATGTTGTAAGGAAATTAATATCTGAAACATAGAATCTCTTCAATGAAATGTGCAGTTCGTATTTTTAACATCCCTCCTTCAGAACATTATGAAAAATTTTCGAATTTCCTAGCTTAATTTTTACATATTTATTCTTAATCTCGTCTGAGGTATTTGCAGAGCTGCACTAACCTACCTAATGCGGTCGTCGGATGATTCTTTTAACTACGCTGCTCGTATTACGAGGCTGTTTTTTTTTGAGGAGGGGGCAGTTAAGACGCGAGAACAACTGTAAAGGGCCATATCGGGTACGTCATTTACAGATAGTGCATGAAGAAACCCGCGAAGACAGTCGGGAAAGCTGATGCCCTCATGTAGATTTGAGTGGGTAATTTTCTGATGAACCCTAGGTCTTTAAAATAAAAGCAATCTAATTAAAATTCTAATAAATATTACATTAAACACGTTATAATAAAAATGGTTTAAAAGGTGTAGGTACTCGCTCGACGTCAGTCGGGCTTAGTTCTGTCGTAACCTTCAACTGTCATGCAGCCATTGCGAAAAATCGGGAACCTCGTTTCGTCGTGATCTTTCTGAGACGAGCGCAAAAAGAAGTTAGTTTCGGCCTTCCTATCTTATTTCGGTCAACGAAAAGTGAAACTTTGATGAATTCGAGATAATGAACTCATTAGTTTCGCTTTTGCTTAGCGTTTCGTTCCGGTGTACGAATTAATTTATTTCCTAAGATAAGGAGGCGAATTGTTATAGGCAAGATTGTTTTATGACTATTACATTATTCCCATAAATGATGTTTAGGATTTTTCGTCCTCGTGGCTTGTAATTTTTATACGAGCCACGGTGGTATAGCGGTTAGAACGCTGGCCTTGTAATCCTGGGGGGTCTCGGGTTCGATTCCCGGCGGTGCCCCGAATTTATAACTTGTGTTGGGCAAGGCCGTGGTCTAGGCAACACGGAGTTTTCCTCTGTGGCATCCCAACAATTACTCCATTTACACACAGAAGAAGGCAATGGCAAACCCCTTCTGGATCATCTGCCAAGAACGTATATGAACAGGTCCCAGTCCGAGAAAAGGATGGAAGGATCCTGTTCATATGGACCTGTCGTCAGACAGAACACTAAATAAATATAAGGGCTGTGGTGTGTTATGCTTACAGCGTCGTGGTAAGGGATTCTCGTCCTTATGGTTTGTAAGGCCGCTGCCTCTTGGTAAGAGACAAGTCCTCATACCCATAGAAATGACACCAGTAAATAAAACACGGGCGCATTTGACTTGCTTACGTGAAGAGGGCTTAATGTCACCCGGAGAAAAATGTTTTGCCGTCTCCTTTCGGTTTCATCCCTCAAGGCTAGGCCTATTTTTCGTATGGATAAAAATGTAACTAATTACCTAGTCCCGTGGTGTAACAAAGACATAAAATCCCAAATACGGAAATTATTGTCAAATTCCTGTTCTGTAGAGAAGCAGAAGATGTCTGAAACTGATACGATTATCTGTCCAGTTGTATATGTATTAGTAAATATTTAATAAACGGGAAGGCATTTTTTGTGTCTGAGTTCAGGCAATGCAAAAAATGTGTATGAAGGCCGATTCAGTTCATAAAAATAAGTGACGTAACGGTATGCAAGGTCAGAAATTTGCCTAGATTTGATTACATCCGTCAAGGTCTCTCCTGTTACAATTGTCATCATCTGTTTCACAGAGAGACCAGGGTTTTATTCAAACGGCAGAGTACGCTGATCGTAAATCACCCGGAAGTGACGTAATTTCTTCCGCGTTTTCCCCCCCCCCCCCCCACCACGCGAACTTTCGCTCGCGTTCTATCGTCCCTTCTTCGTGTTCTTGAACTAGGCTTATAAACCCTCTCATCTAAGAACTTCGCTAATTCTTTCTTCCATTAATTTATTCATGTAGCCGATGTTTCAATCATAAATCAGTGTTTTAATTAGACCAAAAATTTCCGGAAAATAAGTTCCTCGAAAACACCCACGAATCTGTGGCAGAAACTGTGAAACTTCCCAGGAAGGACGAGTGTTTAGATTTCTCTGTTCGTGCTTTCGTAGAAAGCTTTGCTGAAGAAATTGCCTAATTCCAATGTCACCTTATCGTCTAGTGTGGCGGATACAATTCGTCTTGAATTACATCGAAATGACGTACGCTGAATGAGATTTGCTTGATCACGGGTGTTTAAATTAACTTCGTGTCCTAGGGAACTGCGTTTTACCATTAACCATCGCTCATTTCCATTACGACACACAGATAAATAAATTTATCATTATAACATTGATTTTCAAAATCGTAGATCCGATACACCCATTTTACTTACTGTCTATTCAACTCAACACCAATGCCATCTGTAGGTAGATCTACGTAGTTTCTTCCTTTGCGTGCTGTTCTTTTTTGAATTTCGAACATTACCTTCTGCTCAAAACAATAGAATAACGTTCCATATGCTACGGAACACTGAGAAAGCAAAATTTTGTCCATGAAAATATTCGTGTGACACAGAAACATATTTGGAACAGTTTAAGCATTTCCGTGTAATGCCCAGCACATCTCAACCTCCGTAGTTATATTTTTATAACGATATTTGTTGGATGATACAAATTATGAAGCTCCCCATTCAGAAGTCTTCTCCAGTTTTGTGTTTTCAAATGTCCTCCTTTGAAGACAGACGGCAAGTTTCAAACCCATACAGAACAATCTGCAAAATTATAGTTTTCTGTAATTTAATCTTCCCGTCTTCAGGCAGCTGACGGGAACACAAAACTGCAAGAATCCGCCAATTTTAATTTTTTCATTAATATAATTTTAATTATTTAACGTAGTTCCCAAATATTTTAAATTTGTTAAATTTTTTTTCAACGATTTATTCGCTACATGATTTTGTTTTGTGATTTGACGACAAGATAAAACAAAAGGTCACAGAGACGTCATGTGCCTGAGTAAAACCAGCGCCTGGCTGATGCACAATTTCTTCCGCGCGTCCATGGGCATGCCCCCCCCCTTCCTCCTCGTGCTCAAAAATTGTCCGGCGGTCACGTGACTGCCTCCGCCTGAATTCGTCACTTCCGATTGTGTCACCGGTCGTCATTATGACCCCCCTCCATAACACGCAAATTCGCATAAAATTACTTCCCCAGCAGAGTTTTAAAACTTGCATTGTCGTGAATCTTAAAATCAGTGCTTATGATGTACAGGTCGCAACAAGATGTGTCGTGACGAGTGGCTTCTGCGTTCTAGGTCTTAAGATTGCCGGGAGAAACGAAATAAGATCATCGAATTGATCCTAAGTATTACTTGAGGTATAAAATAATAATAACTGAATAATCAGAGTCGAAATTTTTGTTCCCAAATATTTTTACTATCGATTCCGAAAAGTCGATCATAAACCCGCGTTTCACATGACGAAAACACATTCAAAATTACACATAATAACTTCTAAAAATATTCTTGTATATTTTTTCAAAAGTTTACAGAAAAATATTGCCGATGGAGAATGTTAGACGTCGTCTCTTAATACTGAACGTGGATAATACAATTAATTTCGTTATACATAACCTGTATCTGTCTCTACAGAAATTTATGTCGAATTCCAACAATGTAAAGATCTTCAGTCTGTGACAGATAGTTTTATAACAGCCATTGTTGGCTGAAGTAGGCCTGTGTTGTTCGCAAAGACATATTCCAAATCTAATGATAATTCTGACATAGTTTTCGTGTACTGTTTCATAACTACTAACAGCAAAATTTATATTTGGAAAACAGTAAAACAACTTTACAATAACATGTAATCTTTTGTACCATCTAATATGCAAATTTCTTGCAACATTCTATTCATTTCTAGCGTATTGTTACATTGGCATAAAGCAGTCGACATTAAAACGTCCGACGTCTAAGTTCTTTCGAGTCTCAGTGTTGCTGTTTGTGTTACGATTTCTGCATTGTAAGATTTTGTGGTTAGGTTTGGTTTGAGTTTTAACTGAATCTGCATTATTAAGACTATTCTATGTTCTATTTTTCAAGTTACTTTAAAATTACGCACATTTTAGACGCACGATCCTAAAATGTGGATGAAATGACGTTGTTCGTAAGTGGGCTGCTGTTTCGATGTATCCAGATCTCTAATTTTGCTCGTGTCGATAAAATTATCCCAGCACAAGTACAAATTTGTTGTTTGCCATTGGTTACGTCGTTGTCATAGTAACTTAGTTTATCCAATCACAGATACGCTTTCATGGATACAGGTTGAAGACTTGACACAGATCGTAGCAGTTGTGTTTTGTTTTTTGAATAGCGTTGTTTTGTGAACTGGGCCAATAATGTGGTCACGAATTGTGATAATTCTTCACGTGTGGATGACCTTGGTTCGAGTCTCGAATCCTACAGGCGTAATTATTGTTGAAGAAGGACCCGGTGAGTTTATCCACAAAACTTTTATATGTTTGGTTATACTAATTAGAAGTTATGATTTTTCAGTACTATATAAATTGTTACATAAACTTATTTAACAAAAGATATTTTATTTAAAATAACGACAACACACCATTCTGTATAATAGACAAATGTCGATTGATTGATTGATTGATTGAGTGGTGATAATTTTTAAAGTCGCCATTAAAACTTCAATTAATGTTAAAATAATATCACGTCTCTTCTGAGTAAGACATTAATCGATTCTTATCTACTTAGCAAGTTTTAATCTAATAATATTAACATATATTTTAAACATTACAACCTTTCCTATCTACAGATTCAATTGTTTATCGGAAACTTATTTTTTACAGAACAGCATATATTCAGAGGGCCTTGAAATGTTATTATAAACTTATCGGTAAATGTTATGTAAAACCCACGATGGAGGTTGAAATATGTGTACTTGTTGGTTTCTGTTCTCAATGCGAAGAGCTTTCGACGTTTAGCTTTCGTATTTCCGTTAAAGCGATTCACTTATTTGATTAGAAACGCTATCCTAGTTAATTCCGCCTTCTGCTGTGACGTGTATGTTATAACAATCCCAAAAAATTAGGGCTAGTTAAAAAGTCCCGTAAATATTTTCATTCTTACGTAACTGCACTGTTTTCATGCGCTACACGCAGCGCTGGTTTGACTCGCCATGCGTGAAGCATCTGACGTATTTGATGCAACGCGTGTGGTATCTTATTCTGGAACACAGCGCATCGATAATCGATTCTCACTGCCATCTTCGATGTTCTTTTGTTTGGTTCGTACCCGCAGTTTGCTTAATTCCGCCCAGATGAATCCATTTTTCTTCCAGATAAATTTTAATATTATCCTTCCGTCTGAATCGAGGTTTTCTCAATGGTATATTCCATTCAAACTTCCCAACAAAAATTTTGCGCGTGTTTCTTATTGCTACGTGCCTCGTCACTCTAACCTAAAACGTTATCAGAGGTTTCAGATTTCTGCGTCAGATGGCGTGGGAGTTCGAACTTCCGTTACGAAGATCGGGCGGTTTATTTCTGTTCACGGGACAGAGAATCTTTCTCTTAGAATCATATAAAAACGCGTTGATATCTTTTGTGGTCTTTGATTGCTAAAGCAGATTGGCACAGGACTCTGACGATATAATTTCGTAGGCCTTGTATTCATGGCCAAACGCCATTTCGTGAGAGATAAATGTTTATTTCATTTCCTCCTCGTGAAGTCCTTGGTAACGAAGAATGTTTACATTTAATTGTCCGTTTCAGACGGCAATTCTCACTGTTTTGTTATCCATTATTCGCCTTGGTTGCATTGCCATAGAACAATGAGATGACACCAGCATAACGCATTTCGCATTGTTGAGGCGTCGGCGATTTGACTTGATTCTATCGTTTTATCTTTTAGGCTGCATTGTTGTAAGTTTCGGGCTTGTATTAACAGATTCTTACTTCCAGATTACAGTAAAAAGTTTTAGTTAGTGTAATTTTTTAATCAAATTGTATGCGATTTTTTGGGGGGGGGGAGGGGGTGGTCCGCGGTACCCTGAAGGTTTAAGAACACTGCCACAAAGGACCCTGGAGATTCTCTTGTGATTCAAGTTTATAATTAAAACTACCTCGTTTTCAATTTCGATTTTGGGTTTGTCCTGATCTAACTCTGCTAGTTTCACGACTCTTTTCGGGTACTGAATTCTAGATGGAAAGAGAACATTTGGAAGACCTAGACATAGATGAGAGGGTGATATTAGAATGTATCTGAAAGAAATATAATTACGATGGGACCAGCTGAGTGGGCTGTTCTTTGACAGGCCGAGTGTCCAGTCGACTTTTTTCAAAAAAATATCCTGCACCCTAGAATGAGTGAGTTTGTGCCTGTCTATGAACACACATACGCGATTGTCTTCATTCTAGTTTGCTTTCGGAGGCTACTGACAGGGAAACGAGTGTTGGAGCAGCATGTCAGGAGGTCTCTGCCCTCCACGTCCGCGGATCACTGCCGAGAGGAGTGTTCCTCTGAAAAACATTTCGTCTGCGAGGGATTCAACTACAGGCAAGTTCCTGGATGGGTAAATTGGATGAATTTGCGAAGGGACAGTTTAATCTCACTTCGAAACGAAACCATTTAAGAGATTTCTAAAAAACAAAATGTCGTAACCATGGATACCTACAGGAGGGTATAGAGGGATATTGCCCTTAGTTGAAATCAAATCGATAACGTCAGAAGAAATTAATGTCGTGATGACAATGATGTCAGGTTATTTTATGTCTGAAATCGGTTGAGCGAATGCCAACAATGGACAGTGACGCAATAGAGGATTTCGTAACATTATCCAGCAGCCAAATGTGGAACAAAATGGCCACTTAGCTTCCGGTATCGTAAGAGCATTTAGGTGGCTTTTCCTCTGTCACAAGACCTGACAGTGTCATTTGCTTTTAAGATTATTACGATGACAGGAGAAGGGAAAGTCTCTTTTATTTGTCTCCTGATGAGGAGCGGAAGTTACGTAATGTTTCAGCAATTACCATTGTTATCTTGATCGACTAGATCGTCTATTATTTACACGTAACATGATGACCAACTTGACAAAAAAGTTAAGATTTTTTTTTAAAGATGGTTGGAGTCTATTTGTTTAAGTTACAACAGCTTGTGTCATTGTGCGTCATAATTCTTCATGCTCGGGTCTTGTCACACAGACAAAGTTGCCTTAAGGAGTCCTGTTTCTTTATAAATATCAAATTAAATCAAAATAAGCCGCCATCGTGTTCTTAAATCTACGGCAAGATATTAATTCTTTTAAGTGTTGGTGTTTCAGGGTGGATGTGGGTGGGTTTGGTCGTGGTAGCTGTGACCTGACTGATGTCCCGTCCTCCCGTCTGGATCTGGGCAGAGACTTCTACTCGGACCGGGAATATGATTTTTATGAGAGAGACCGCAACATCGGGCCAGACTGCAATGTGGCTCCTACAGAGGACTCTCGCCCTGGGGGTGGACTCTATGGGGGCTCCAATTCTTACGGGCACTGGCAGCAAGATGGGGCTCAGCCCCATGGGCATTACTATGGGTCAGGGGGGAACACATGGGGTGGTGGAAGGAAGCCGTCTTATGGGTCAGGGGGGAGCACATGGGGTGGTGGAAGGAAGCCGTCTTATGGTGGTGGTCGATGGGATTATTACGGTGGTAGTTCTAGTCATGGACTGTGGGGTCCTTCTGGGAGTGCGGGATTTTATGGAAATGGAAATAATTATGGTTCATGGGGTTCTTATGGGAGCGGGGGAACCCATGGAGGTGGTGGAGGGTCTTATGAGGGTGGAGGTTGGGGAAGTGGGTGGCAAGGAAGTCGAAACCCACCACCAGGGTTGCAGAACTCAGGAGGAGGAGGTTGGTATTGGAGTAGGCCATCTGGGGGATGGGATGTGAACAAAGATGTCGGCTTCCATGGTCACGGCTCTTCGCCGTCATTTGGTTACAGAGAAGGTGAGCAATCAGATACTTTTTATTGTAAGAAACCTGTATTTTACCATGTGATCCGAGATGTTACGCTGTGTAGTTGTCATGTAAATAGACCCGACATTTCAGAGGTGCTTACCGTCTTCATCATCAGGGTAATTATAATGAAGGCGATAAGCTCCTCTGATATGTTGGTGATCTTCAGCCATACTTTGGAAACCTTAAGTCTCACTCAGTATTTACAATTTTTTTACGTAATTTAGTGAGAAGTTTCACCAGATTTCTCATCCCCAGTTGTAATGGTTCATCGCTTAGCACTGTCAAGTGGAAGACAGCATAGATTTCTTGCAGTCATTATGTTATTGACACGTCGTGAATGGGATAATATTAAAATGGATCTTAATGAAATGGGGTGTGATGATGTCTACTGGATTCAATAGGTTTAGGATCAGGACTGATGGTATGTTTTTTTTGACACGGTAATGAACGTTGTGGTTCCATAAAAATTGCAGAATTTCTTTATTATCTAAGATTGACAGCTTCTCAAGGAAGACTGTGCTCTGAGAAGTTAGGTTAGAATTGCTCCAGCCTTTTGCATAAGAACCTGAAAACAAGTCTCTCAAATTTTTTTATAGAATGTTTCTTACGATCTCGGACTGGCTTTAGACTAGACAGAAGGATTGTCAAGGTGGCCATTACAGTTCCATATCTTCATGACTGCGAGATAGAATGTGCCAAAGGAGGCCATTTTGTGTGCAACACCTTCAGTTTCAGGTGAGTCTTATTTCGTAAAGAAAAGACTGTACGTAGCAAAACTGGAAAATAAAATAAGACGCTCGCTTTCCACCTAATCTTACAGGGACAGTGTTATGAAAAACCTGTTGTACTTTCGGACTATAAGACCCATTCAGATTTTACGCCGCGTTTTAAAGAAGAAGTTCCGAGAAGAACTTACCACTCATAATTCTCCATAAGTGCTTGTCTTTATATACACAAGTACAAATTACTAATTAAAATGTTTATTAAATCGTCCTTATGCATGGTTTTTGATCTTACCATAACCGTGTTTTGAAATTTTTGCTTACAAAAGAAAGTTTTTGGGTTTTCATACATAAATTCTCCGTCCATATAGCATATTTCGTGTTGTTGACGTGGTATTTTTCCAGGTACAATCTGGAACCGAGTTTTCCGCACGAGAACTGCCATCTGACCGAAAGGTTTTACAGCGACCTCGATCCGTACCACGACATTCTTCCAGACAGGGACTACGACGTTTACTCTAAGAACGAATATGCTCGGTCTTGCCTGGAGAAGTTCCCTCAGCAGCGTCCTCATCAAGAAAGTGGTTCGTATACGACCATTCCTCTTTTCTCTTCTCGGGATTTGAGTATTTTCAAGGGTTGTCTACTATCTTAATTCATAATTTGATAAACCTTCCTTGTAATCATATATTTTTGTTTCATCTGCAGTTTCCCATCCTGTATTGTAAACATTTTCAATTTTGCTATGTTGCCTGCTTCTTCAGGGCTCTGTTTTTGAATTCACAGGACAAAAGTCACTTTCCATTTTTTTTCTATCCTGTGCACACCCTTCAGCATATTGTGAATTGGTGGTTAACAAGATTCACGGCCCCTCAGTACATGCGTTCGATCGGGACCACGACATTTAACGCTCCTGCTGTGACCCCCTTTTCGCGAGATGAAAGTGGAGTCATTTTCGGGATGCCACGGAGGAAAACTCCGTGATGCCTTGCCCAACACAAGTTAAAAATTCGGGCACCGCCGGGAATCGAACCCGGGACCCCAGTATTACAAGCCGCTAGACCACCGTAACTTCCCGTGTCCGCTGTTCCAACCGGATACACCAAAACACGTGTCACCGATCAGGTTTATTTGTTCTGTCTTGTTGCCCTCAGAATGTTTTGTGAGGGTTCGGAGTGGTCAGAACCTGGACCGCTCTATCGCGAAGAACATACTAAATGCTCACTCACTGGGGGAGTGTGAACTCGAGTGTCTGAGGTCAAGATCCTTCACGTGCCGTGTGTTCAGTTACAGGTATTTATATTTTCAGATTAACCAGTGAAATGATTCGATCTCTGAACCTGTTTTTGATGTTTAGAGGCTGTTTTCTTGTGTTACGTGATTAATATACGTTGTTAGAAATGATGGAATTACTATGAATGATAAATTGGAAAGGATTTTAAAGCAATTATTTAACTTTTACTCCGATGAGTCCGAGAAAATCGTGAATGACTTCGGTTAAGACCTCTGAATATGAATATTATTTCGCTTAAACCGTGTGTGACCTTGAAAATTAATCCTCGGCTTCTACGTATAGAATACGTCCTCCTTTCGTTTTATATTCAGATATGGTGTACGAGATATCAACTCACCACAAGACAACTGTGTCCTATCTGACTGGCCGTTCTTTGAGCTGGATCCGAGACGGCAGCTGGTGGATGACTTACGCTACGAATTGTACGAGAGGGGGAGTTACGGTCATGGGTGTGAGATTAACCACTACATACCCTATCCACAAGAACAGTATGAGTTAGATCGATGGACTCAGCAGCATGACGGGGGTGGCAGTGGGGGTCATCAACCACCCCCACGTCCGCCCCCACGACGACCAACATATCCGAAACCTAGTGATGAACGTAAGTAACTAGTCGATGCATTCAACAGCTGACTCAGTCATCAGAAAATCCTACTCCAGCTTGTGCCAAGGTTAAGAATGCGTGGAGTTTCCCTCCTCTCCCCATGCGTTTTCGTGGCTGTAAATTATATTACCCGTGCGAAATCCCACAAGTTTCTTCTTGCCCTGAGATTTTACAGCAAAAATTATGCACATGTTTGTTAATCTCCACGTCTGGCAACATGTCCCACCCATCTCGTCATCCTTATTAACTGTTTTTGAGGAAAATTATAAATTAAATTTGAGTGTAATTTCAAGTATTTCGTCAGCTTTTTGCGTCTGAAACATTAATGTATCCTCGTACTGATCTGTGTGCGTGCAGAGTGTTACGTGGGGTACGGGGGCCCAGCCCGGTTGCTTCCGATCGCCGTTCGTAGCTCACTGGACGTCCCCACGGAACTGGACTGCAAGGCGGAGTGCTCTCGGGCAAGAGACAGCTTTAGCTTCTTCTGCACGTCTCTCAGCTTCCGGTCAGTTACGACGCAGAAAAAAATCATAATTTTCTTTCTTATTATCACAGTTTTAAAATTCCTGTAAACTTGAAGTCTTTTTTTTTGTGGATTTCACATATTTGTTGTAACTTTTATCATCTTCTTTATTACGCCGTCCTCTTTACAGGAGTTTGGCGACATATTATGAACAGGATCATTTTAGGCAGATGTTCCAGAAGTGGTTTGCCATTGCCTTCTTCTGTGTGTGAATGGAGTAATTGTTGGGATGCCACGGAGAAACCGGGGAAGCCCCCGGAGGAAAACTCCGTGTTGCCTAGACCACGGCCTTGCCCAACACAAGTTATAAATTCGGGTACCGCCGGGAATCGAACCCGAGACCCCAGGATTACAAGGCCAGCGTTCTAACCGTGGCCGGTTATCACCTTAAATAGTCTAAATAAAAATGTCACACCACATTTGAATATTTTTTATTGAAGGAAAACGAATTCTCTTCAGTCCGTTGAATACCAACGGGTACAGCAAGGGCTTGAACATAAAACTGCCTTTAATGTGCAGATCAGGCAACGCGTACCATCCGCACCCTCGCCACGACGACAATGTCCCAGAACACAACTGTCTGCTGAGTGACATCGAGCAGCGTGACTTGAGACCCGGACTTGACTACGTGCATGACGGCGACAACTGGATGTTCGCGTGGAACTTCTTGGATTCGAAATGTGACCTCATTGCTCACAACCCGGACCAGCAACACGGATTTGATGGACATTACGTTCGTAAGTGTTCGTCAAAACAAAAGCACGTCTGAGGTCGCGATACAACTACAGTTTCGTAAACAGAGTTCGTATTTGTAGGAATCGGCGTTTTCTACTGACGCCTCGGCGTAGAAGCGAGGAGTGTATTGAAACAGGGTTTGAGGACTTACGTCTGGATTCATGTGGATCAGGATGACGTCCTGTTGCGTTCTGTTGTGAATCTTAAAGCTCGATAAAGGCACGAAATATATCGGCTTCTGAGGAAGGTTTTTTGAATACACAGGATGGTATCGATAAGAATTACGCGACGACTAAAAGGGAAAGGAAATTGTAACTTTGTTACTATCTGGAAGTTGGGAGTTTAGTTTATTCCTACCATTTTTATTAGTCTTGCAGAGTATAAAATGGAAGATGAATCATTGAATGTCCCGCGTTTGCCTGCAGCCGGTCGAGTGGACGTGCAGACGTGGCAGAGGTTCACGGTGTCCGGAAGACCCTGCCGGTACGGGACGGAATGCGTAGAGAACAGAGAAGCTGGTTTTTGGCACTGCGAGCTGGAGGGAGGTGACGCCGGAGCCTGGGATTACTGCTGCAGACCCGGACACCAGTGCGGCTATTCCGAGGGCTACGACTATCCCTGGTGAAAGTCTAAACTTTCTCTCTCCGTTTATTCAATCAATGAAATTAATCTGTTGTAAATGGCGATTTTAGAAGAATTTCTGCAGCGAAACTAAAAATGAAAAACCAAAATTTGCTAATTCGGTTTTTTTTATATAAATATAAACATCGTCTGTTCTGTGCCCGCAGGTGCTATGTGGGGAGTGCTGCCAGGGACCAGTGGAGACCTTGCAGTGACCACTACTACCCCTATTCTCACGATCCTCACGGAGGTCTTCGTGGACCGTCACGTGACCAGCATCGTCACATCGAAGCCTTCCACTACGAATCCTATGGTCCTCCGCGGTACTGGCCCGTCGCGTATCTCCATAAAGACGCTCCGCCTAACTCCACAACACTTTCGCTGACCTCAGGGGATAAAGATTCCGGGCATCTTTTATCGGGCCACGCATCTCACGCCGACAGTGGATTTGAGAATCATTTAGACGGTAACCGGCACAAATACGGGAAGAAACTGACGTGGCTGAGTCCAGTCAATGACACAGAGACAAAGACCGGTTCCGACAGAAACAAGGAGGACGAGATGGACCCAGTGTTTGTGATTGTGGATAGCCACGATTCGTCAGGTATCGAGACAAAGAAGGATCACAAATCTACAGGATTATCAGAGACTCGCGCGCCCACCGCGATTAATTCCACTGCGAGGATCACGAAGTTACAGCCACGATTTGTGTCTCTCCGCGAGCAAGATCTCAAATTTTCAAAGCTCGTCGAGAGAGACGCCGTACCTGGAGAAATTAAACATTGGAGGGGAGGCGAGGAAGGGGAGGGAGAGGTTACGAGGAAGTTGACGACAGCACCGGTTGAATTTAGGAGGAAAATCTCACAACAGGGAGGCAGTGGAGATGGCGGGAACGGCACTGTGAAGGGTGTTCAGTTTGAACTCGCTGTTCCTCGTGCGACTGTGACCAAATTGTGACGTTTTACTTCGTAGGACTAATCAGCTTTGGAAAATGGGCCTCGGACAACGCTGCCTGTAACTTAATCACAAGTTTTGGTGTGAAATTCTTAATAAAATAGAATTCACGTAGTTACAGAAGCAGCAGCTCGCATTTGCGTGAGACTTCCGTCTAGAGTCGTTACGCGAATATGACGGGACGGCACCGAGACCTTTTCTGCCGAAGATGCTGTAAAATGCCAGAGCAAAGACTTCCAGTACTCGTCTACAATCGCGGCTAAACTTTAATTAATCCATTGGACAAAGCGTATAAAATTAACTCTTAAATGGGGAATCAGTCAGTTAGCATATTTCTTATCTGAAATACATCAAAGTCCTCGCACCATAAAAACGAAGACGTTTCGAAACCTCGATCAAAGCCTCGGACAGACGGACCTAACAGAGGACCGGAGAGCCATAGAACAAGAAGGAGATATGTCAAAGTATTTCAATTTCATTTCGTATACAGCGATGAGACTTTCACGACTGTAACATGAAATAACTTAGAGTTTTTTTCATCGAACCCCGGGCTGGACGACTAGGGTTCGATCCCCAATGCGTCCAGACCGGCTCTGGGGCCCACCCAATGGGTACTGGGTTCCTTTCCCGGGGGGTTAAGGGCTGCCGGGACGTCATGCTGACCACTCACCCCATCAAGTGCCGAGGTCAAGAATTAGTTAAAGTTATACCGTCTCTCCCCCCCCCCAAGCGCCTACATGGCGTGTAGCGGGACAGCTTTACGTTTATTTATACACTTTTTCTAAGACGTGAGAATTAAGAACCTAGAGATTACGTTCAGGAGAAAAGTTCGAGAATTCAAGGCCACTTTAATAGTGAAATGAGCTTGACTTTTAGCTGTTAATATTTGTGGTGCAGTTTCTTGTGTTTTATTCCGCTAATTTGTTTTTTTGTATCGGAAAACGAAGAAAGGCCCATTTTCCAAACAATTTACAAAAGAATTTGTACACGTCAGTGTTCGGAATCTTCTCAGAAATGTTTTTTTTTTCTTCACAGTTCTTTGCGAGATTCAGGACAGTGACCTCTGACATTTAATCCGCGACGAATCCACCCGAAGAAAATGAGAAAATTAAGAGGAGATTCTGAAATCTATTCTTTGCACCAATTTTGCTGGAAAAGAGTTCTGAATATTAAATTCAAAGGTGACTGGACTTCTATCTATACAGACGTAGGTAAATAATTTTAAAGTGTCGAATGCTCTTTTGGATAGTGAAATGTGCGTTCTTGTGGGTAGTTACCAGAGTTTCTGAGTTACACTAACCCCCACATGCGATTACCCAGAAGGCCATATTCATCTTCACTGACGCGGGACCCGAGATACATCGAGTGCCACGTGGTGAAGTAAAATCCCGCTTAAAATGTCACAGCGGAAAGCACGAGAATTGTTACTGATGTCGGAGTATTTCGTAGATATGTTCTTACGTAATAGACCCCGAGTCCTTTGACAAATTTAATGGAACTTTATTGACTTTAATTTGCCTGGGGGCCTTGTGTCAGGCACTAGGTTTTATGTTTGGCAGAAATCTGGCTTCAATCACTTTTGAAGAAGATTTCACTTTTAATTTAGTTCATAAATATTTTAATATTTTCCGTCAAATCACAATTTTTAATAAGATAATAAAATATAAAATATTTAAAATATCATTTCACGTTCCGCATCGAATGATCGATTTACAAATTTATTAATGTTTTATTTATTTAAATCATTGCTTTACAGACTAATATTGAACATCAGATGAACCACGCCATATATAAAAAACAATACCTTCGTTCTAATATATAAGAGTAATCTGATAAGAACATTTCAATAAACTGCATAACATACGTTCCAATTTGTAAATCGATCATTCGATGCGGAACGTGAAATGATATTTTAAATATTTTATTATCTTATTAAAATTGTGATTTGACGGAAAATATTAAAATATTAACCTATTTCACAATATGACGCAAATATACTACCTTAGTTCATAAAGAAATTTTATAAGTACTTTCAATGTGATTTGCTGCAATAAATAAATTCAACACAAAACAGGAAGATTTCGATCTACTTTGAAGGGTCATACTGTGCTAGTGTTTATTACGAAAGCTTTAATAATTTTTTTGGGCATATTATGGTAAATATTTAGAACTCCTTTTTCACCAATTCAAGATGGATTGTGTACCAAACCAAATGTTGGTTAAGGCACCTTTTAATACCCATGTATAGTCGACACTCATTTGTAGAAATGTTTCATTTAGAATTTTTATACAATATAAAAATGTAATTTTTATGCATACAATTATATGACATGTATTTTAATTTTGATTACATAATTTATTATGTGTGTATGCCAGTTACCAGAATAATTATTTTCCCAAAAGTACAACACTGTTGGTCATGTCATCCTAACACAAATTCATTCCACGCCCACATTTTTTTTTAGATTCATCTTAACATCGTCCTTTGATCAATGACTACAATTTTGTATCTTTTTCTCAGTGTTTGTTCTCTAAGTTACCAAGATTTTTACAGTACCCCTTTATGATTAGGGTGAAATGCAGAAACGTCTATCAGTTTCCACCAGACTACATGCCGCAATATTTTATAAGAAAATCATCCTTAAGTTCGTAATACTAATCATTCCTTTATTGCAGTGGTGATGGAAATTATTGACAAGTCTGATGGTAGTTAACGTTGTTATTGACTGAGCTCTTGGTAATGGCTAATATAATTAATTAATAGCAAATACTGCCGCCAGATCGTTCTGTAGTAGTTTGACTGTGGCATAAGTTGCCGGCATTGAGTTGTCGATATTTATGTTGGTACTTTGTAGAAGAGTTGTGGTGTTTGATGCTGGAGTTAATGGTGAGGTAAACGAAGTGGGGATACAGAAAGATTATAAAACGTTACGAAAGTATCGTATTATATCGTGGTAAAATGTTTTTGAAAGTTCGAAGTTTCATTATAGTATAGTAATAGCAACTATTTCAGGCAGATACCACATGGTATGAGAAGTGTAAAATGTGACTTGAAAGAAATATCCATGTGTTGGGCTGATTTATGTAACAGTAGTTTACATTCGTAGATAGTGCATTAGCCTTATTGTTTCAGTTAAACGCATGTGTATTCGTTTTGCATTTTTCTCTTCTTCACCCCCCCCCCTCCCTTAACCGTACTTTACGGTAGGCCTTTGAGCTATTTCGGCATCACGTAAATAAATAAAGAATTGAATTAATAATATTGTTTTCAGGCCGTCGATGGTGTTAGATATTCAGAAGCATTTGTATCTGAAGTAAAATGTCACACTCAGATGAGAAGATTTCTAAAACGACAAAATCGGTACAGTCAGATTATGAAACTCCAGTGGACAGAAGCAGACTTCTAGGCTGGGCAGACAAAACACTTTCAAAACTTAAATCAGACAAGAATTTTCTAAGAAAGACAGGAAAGAAGTCCAGACAAGAAACAACAACTGGAGATGAAGATTTTTGTACAACACCTTCAAAGAAAGGAGAATGTGAAAAAGAATTAGAACCAAATGAAGAAGCAACATTTGTTTCAGAAGTTGTAACTTCAAAATTGAAAAGAAAAGTGCAGCATTTGGCATTTGATGCTAGTGTCACAAGATGTAAACGGGTAAAGAAAAGTTTTAGTGAGAAACATGTTCCTTATACCAAAGAAAATGTGAATGGTTGTGAGCCATATACATTAAAATCCAAACATGGGCTTGTGGCATCAGGCGGCAAAGGCCAAGAAAGTGGACATGAAATATGTACAAAGAAGAAGAAAAGGAAATATAATGAAAGTAAAATTCAGATTAAAGTCAACACTAGTTCAGAATTTCCATTGTCATCATTGGAATTGGAAACCGAAGAAAGACCAAGAAAGAAGAAAAAGTTGATGGAACATTACAGATCTGATAGAGTGAATCATTCCCATTGTTGTAAGTGCGCTTTAGAAGTTCAGAGAGCAGAAATCAGTGCAAGTAATGAAAGACCTGCATTTGATTATAGTGACTCTATCTCAGATTCTAAGAAATTAAAGAAATATAAAATGAGCAAAGATTATTACACAGTGATTGAAAGTGAGTCCACTTCAGGGAAAATGAAAAATGCTATTACTCGTAAACAGCGCGAGTTACAGAAATCAAACCGCACTTTTGCCATAGTGTTAGAAGAGGGTAACCGGACAAATGAGGGAGACACACTGGAAAGAAACCCCAAAGCAAAGAAGAAGGAAAAGGGTTTTTATACACATCCAGTCTCAAAAAGAAAGAAACTGAATAAATACAGAGAGTGCACAGAAAAATGCAAACCCAATGAGAGTAGGCATAATTCAGAAAATAAGGACGAGGTGGGTAGCGGTGACAGGTGTGAATCATCTTCAGAAAGACAGGAAGAGGAAGCATTTGAAGGATATTACAATTCTGTTGAAAAGAGGAAAAAGAAAAAACATAAACACGACTACAGCTTTGATGAAATGCACAATCTTTGTTATGGTTGTTACAAAACTGAATCTGCTTCAAAGGGGAGGAAACAGAAGACTGACAAAAGAAATTCTCGTTCTGACACAGTTGAGTTCAAGAAAAAAAAGAAAAATGGAAATTCTCGTTCTGACACAGTTGAGTTAAAGAAAAAAAAGAAAAATTTCGATGATGATGATGATGATGATAATAATAAAAGTTGTTGCAGCAACAATGATTCAGGGCCCAGAAACAAGAAGAAAAGAGAGAAGGTTAAACAGCGTTGTGACGTTAATGAGGATACGTCGGTTTTAGAACGGAGGAGTAAGAAGAAACTATGTTCTGATAGGAATAATGTAAATATGGAAGAATCTTTTGCCATTG